ATACTTGGGTTTTAGTTCTGTCACTTGGTTCCTGACAGAAGAGACCTTTAAAATAACATCTTTGTCATAATGATAAACAAAACAGTCCACTCAATTATTGTCCAACATAAATTTTGTTAGCTGTTTGATATGTCCTTGATTATTCCAATGTATTCATCACGTCATGGAATATTGGAAAAATCAAAGTGATGAGAACTTCAGAGCTGCAGGCAGTGTGTGGTAGGCAAAGGGAAAAACTGCTGTGGTATATGTTAAACTGGCAGTATTTCAGATTACCCTCCAGTATCAGCAAGTGATCCAGGGTTTTGGGATGGTACAGGGTGGTAAGAAAATATGGATGGAAAGGGCCCTCCAAGGATCTAGTCCAGCCCTCTGCTTAAGGCTGGATTGTCCCTGACTACACTATCCCAGACAAGTGTCTGTCCAACCTACTCTTGAAAACTTTCAAGGATGGAGATTCTACAGCTTCTCTAGATAGCCTGTTACAATGCTTAACCATGTTCATCATCAGAAATTCTTCCTAATGTCCAACCTAAATTTTCTCTGCTGCAGTCTGAGGCCATTTCTTCTAGTCCTATCCCCTACAACTACGGAGAAAAGGCTATCTCCATCTGCTCTGTAATCTTCATTCAGGTATTTTTAAGACTTATCAAATCCACCCCCTCACCCCCCAGTCTTTTCTTCTCCAGACTAAGCAAAGCTAGTTCTTTCAGTCTGCGTACCAGTGACCTGAAAACCTGCATTTGTTGTGTTTCTCAGGCCTCTAATATTTTTTGTTGCTCCTTACTGAATTCTTTCCAGTCTTTCTTGGATTATTGCTTCTCAAACTCAGGATTTGTATGTTGAATTTGATACTATTTGATTTTGGACCACTTCTTCAGTTTATCCAGGACATTCTGAATTTCATTTTTTTGGAGAGAATTTCAAGAAAGCATTGTTTGTTTGTTTTGTTTTGTTTTTTTCCTTCCTCCTTCAAAACCACTTTTAAATTGCATCATTTTGGTAATACTCAGAAAAGAACAAGACTATCTAAACAAAGATCCTAGTCCTAATACACTTATCTAGAAGAATAGTCCATTTACTACTGTCGCTGTGTGATGCAGCAAGGGGGCTTAGTGTCCCATAGAAAGAGTGGACCCCACCCCAAATGATCTCAGCTCGTAGGGGAAGTTAGCCTGGGAAGGGCTGGTGACAGGCGCAACTTACCTGCAGGTGCTGGATTCACAGCAATAGAGCAGCACATGGTGCTGCAGTGCTGTTTTAAAAGCACATGCTCCCTGTGTGTAGGTGGATGTGCAGAGTGACGCACAAAGATCATGCCCAGCATGCGAAAGCCAGGCAGTTGAGCCGGATGGAAGCAGCCAGGAGAGCCTCCCGACTCAATGTCAGCAGACCTGGGCAGCTGAGCCTGGCAGAGACGGCCAAGAAGACCCTCTGGCTCCAGTAGAACAGACAGCTCAGGATGCAGGGAGAAGACGCTGCAGCCTGCAAGGAGAGAACCTGGAGGGGTTCTCATCCTCAAAGATTAAGGCCAGGGAAAGTCTGGAGGATTGAGTGGATCCTGCACCCAGATGACAGAAGCATAAGGGACGCATGAGTGTGAATACCTCTGTCTAGTGCCAGACTTGGGGGGTCCTGAAGGGGCTATGTTTTCTTTGAGTTTCATTATTGTTTGGAGGGGACACCCCCTCCAAAAGACTGGGTACCCGGACTGCCTGTGACTACACCCGGAGAACGGTGATGAACAGCATGTATTTCGCCCTCCTCCAGCAATGGAGCTAATTGAGTTTGAGTTCTATCTTTGACAAAATTAGTTTGATTACTGAACATTGAGGGGATACTAACCCAGATCCTGAAGATAAATTACGGGCACAGACTTTGTTCACCCATGGTGACTGAGACTGAAGTTGGTAAGGCAGGGGTTTTCAACCTTTTTTCTTTAAACAAGTGTACCCCTGGCGGCTGGACATGGAGTGGGGGGTCGGGTGGTGGCGTGTGGCCGGACACAGAGCAGTGGCAGCTCAGGGTGGTGGGTGGCAGTGGCTGCCACTGCATGTGAGCTTCCCCCCCCTGTGGGTGGTGCCTGTGTGGCCCACAAAGGGGCACCACTGCCCTTGCCCCAGTCCTGCTTCTGGGAGGTGGCAGCGTGGGGTAGTGGGTGGTGGCGCTCTGTCCCTGCCCATGCATACACCCTAGGGCCTTCCCAAGTACCCCTGGGGGTATGCGTACTCCCAGTTGACAACACCTGACATGAGGCTTAGATCCAGGCTTAACTGGCACCCCTTTTGGTATTTCTTTTGGAATTATATTTTAAGCCTTGTGATTGAGAGGCCAAGCCCAAGGCTATTTGTGTCAGGAACTGATCCAAGATGCATATTTGATTATCTGAGTTGGGCCAATAAATGGTATATGGTAGCAGACACTGCATTTGGTGACACCTGGCATGAACAACCTTGCTACATCATATGGATCACGGGTATGCATACCACGGTTGCACCAGCTGCTGTCATTGTGCACCGTTTTGGTAAAATCTACCTGTGGAAGGGATGAGGGGGAGGAAGAACCTCATGAAATACTTGAGGAGAGCCTCCCTGAGGGATGGGTACCACCTGTTGGAGCCTCCCTCCCTAGTGTTTTCTTTTCACAATGAAGTCATGGTGGGCAAGTAAAGAGGGATCTCCCTCAAGGGAAACCCTCTAGATACCCAGCAGGAGTGAGCGTTAGGCACTCGGCCTACATCAGTCTCAATGAGCATGCTGCTCTTCGCACTGCCCTGGCTGGGCACAACTACTTTTACCATGGGTTAGGAAAACATACCCAAAAAAGTGAAACTTCACTCATTCTTAACCAGGTTTAATTATTTTTGCCTGTCTTGTGTATGCCAGTCACTGGTATACAGCTCTCGACGGTAGCTTATGGAAGATATCTATTTAAAGACACTGTATTTTTTGCAAGTCCTCCGTTAAAAAAACTGCATCACAAATAAGTGCCTTTCCCCCAACCAGCTTAATATTCTGAAGTATTTTCA